TGGAGCCTCCTGCAGAAATAAACTACTGAAACCTGAGATATGCAAAAAAAAACTCCTTTCAGTGGTAACAGGAAAAACATCTGCTGGCATGTGTCAAATAATGTAAATGAAGGTGTTCTTTTATATCACAAATATAAAAGATTAAACAAAACGGTAGACAACTTGGACAGTTAAGTGAGTGTGCAGTTAAAAGACAGTTTGAACATCTTTTTCTTTTTATTCTTTTTATTCAAATTTGGAGACCAACACAGCAAAGTTTGAGGTTAAGAGTCTCGATCCACAGTCTTTGCAGTATTCTATTATTCAACTTCACTCCAAACTCCTGACTAAAACAAGTAAAAAGACTTGTAAATATTTTTTTTATCCAAAAAAGTAGTGTTTTTCCCAAATGTTCTTGGAGTGCACCAGAAGGACATTCATCATGAATTGTGAGATAATTGTGGTGAGAATGAGTATTGTAGGATTTTGTACTGCTGCTCAACCAACTCCAGTCACTGTGGCTCTCAAGCACAATATGAACTTTTGAGATTTCTGAAAAAATGTATTGTTTGTCGATTGGATGGCCTCCGTTCTGGGAACTGCGCAGAAACCCCCTTGTTGTCAATTTATATAGAAAGCCATACATCCTCTGAATGCCCAGGGTCTCTAGTCTGTGGTTGTAAAGTTTCATGAGGCTGTGATTATCCTAGAGGTCACAACAAGTCTTTTTATACAGTGACATCAAGATTCATAAAATGATCTTAGTATGTGAAAATCTTCACCTGTCATTGACTCCTCCTTACATGGAGGATACAACAGATAACAGTTGAAGTTTTTGTTTGGTGTGACTGACTGGTGACCTGTCCAGGATCTCCCCCCTCTCCCCAACCTGGGATTGACTCTATCCCCAATCGATAAGGATGCAATCATGCAATGGTACTCTGTACTATGACTGGGGCTGTAAATTCAGTGTAAACATTTATTATACAGTTTATAAAGATATACTCAGGCAGTGTCCATGTATGACCTAATTGATGATGTCAATGGCATTATTTTCTTGAATGAGCAACTCGAATAAAGCATATCATTTGTGCCCCTGTACACGAAACCAGTAGATTGCAATTCATGACAAACTGCCATGATACTGGGCTGGCAGATACAAACACCACCACACACCTCTAGTGGGTCATCAGCCATGATTAAGAGCGATTACTTTTTTATGAGTCTATACATTGTTTTTTCGGAAATCCTGCAGCTTTAACACATGTTGTCTTCATTCATTATGTGTTTAGTTTGTGTCCTATTAATCATTATATAGCTATTAAACTTGTTTTACTATAGTTTAAATATAGTATAACGTAATATAAAATGCATCACACCTGCCTTACAAAATAACAGACGGGGTTATTATTAACCAGTAGCCTATTGTTGTAGAAGAGCACATGTTGGTATAACCATAGAAAAGAGGAAGTCACAAACCGCAACATCTTGCCTGAAAAATAATTTATAACAGGAAGGAGAGAGGAGGAGGACAAAAACTACAGAAACACTTAGAAAGTACCTTAATCAATCCAACAGCACCCATTTGATCTTACTAAATTACGTGTATAATCCACAAGTATGCTATAACCAACAACGCAACAGAAATCAAACATTTCTAAAATGCTGTCGTGCTACTGTGTTATATGTGACATAGTTTCTTTAAATGGACAAAGCCTATTCAACACTTAACTCCTTGAATATTTCAAGCATACGGATGATATAACTCTGAGTGAAATGCCACTTTCATTAACAACTATTATACTATGCAAGAGAAATCCAGTCTGTCTGTGTGTCCTGCTTGTACATACAGACATACTTGTCGTCGTGTTGTGTGATCAAATTGCTTGTGTGCTCATTTATTGTCATCATGGGCTTCTCATGCAATGCAACAAACAATTCAGCTTCAAATGCGATCATTGCGTTTAGATTGAGAACATCTTCTCAAATTGCAAAGAAGCTTTCATTTTACCAATGCATATATGGTTTATGCAATAGGCTGATGATGTCTATTCTCATATGAAAATACAGGGAACAAGTATTCTAAGTGCATTTCATTTGTCATTTGTAAATAATCAGATAACTTGCATGCTGAGATTAGTAAACAACATGCAATAATAGCCATTGCATTTATAGGCATGTGGTTCACAATCCTATTAATTCTAGATGTCTTTCCCTCTTCACTCTCCCATCTGTTGTATTCTGTTTTGTTTCATTTAGTGGTAGTGGATAGAAAGCTTTATCCAGACGGTCATTTACTCAACTTGCACCACACGAAAGAATGGAAGGAGTCAACAGACTGCAAACAATAAGCAAACACAGTGTATTCTCCATTGGTTTCCTTTTTCCAAATAAATATGGATTGAAGTCCTAAAATGAAGTGAGATAGATATTTTTATATTATATAAATATTGTTAGTATTAAATTACAAAAGTTCTTGTTTATGACATTTAGATACATTTAATCTTCATGAAATTAGAGTAAATGAAAACCCCAGTAATGTACTTTCTATCTGAAATTGTGTATATGTACAGCAGTGAGCTTATCTTTCTTTTCTAGACCAAAGCTGCAGAGATAATCCATATGGGACCTCATCACTCCTCTCTGGCGTACGCAGTTCACTGCCGATCACGGTTTACACACAGACACAGGCTCGCACAGGAAAACAAGAAGCTGAATGATATAGCGACATATCATCTTTTTAAAAATAAATTTACAAACACAAGTAGCCAGGATCTCGACTACGGCCATCATCATGAGTATTAAACAAGCCTGCATCTTTCTCAGGGGTGGAACGAAGAGACCCGTAAGTCAAAATGATTTTATGGTTTTACAGTTTATTATTTAATGGTAGTTGTTTTTTGCTATTAACATGTGTTCAGCTTAAATGAATTATGTTTATATATCATGATTATCTTTGTCTGTGGTTCACCAGGAACATAAATCCTACTATAATCTGTTGATCAATTATGAAACAAATATTGTTTTGTTATTGTGGTCATCCTAATATGGTGTTATTTTAGATTAATGGCAAAAGAAGCTTGCAAGAATTGTCTCATTATGGAGTAGAGGTGGGACGATAAACGTTTTTGCATTAGGCAAATGCGTTGGCACTCAAAACTTAATACTTTATATGAAAAGGAAAACATTTTTTACACAGGATGCACTCTGTTGCATTTGTTTTTTTTACCAATAATGGAAATTTTTAGGCAACCTTTGCTGTAGTTCTAATCCCATGGTGGACATACTGTACATATGATCTGGAATCAATCAAATAAGATACTGCAAGATAAAAAATAAAATGTTTTAAGCAAGGATTTAACATGACATATCTACAGATGTTAAAGGCACACAAACAGTAATGTGTCTGGACATTATTGTCAACCCGTATTCATAAAGTGTGCAGAGATCAGAATCAGCTTTATTTGCCAATCATGCACGTATGAATGTGGAATGTGGCTGTCAATGTACTTACACAGAAATATAAGACCAGCCAGGGACAATGAGAACAAAGCTGAACAGATAAAGATAAAGAATACACAGGAACGTTATTTGCACAAGTAGTGAAAAAAAAGTGTAAGTATTTATTTTTTATAAATATATATACAAAACAACTTCAGACCAACAATGAAATAAGAAGTAAAACATATATAAACAAGGCAAGTGTTCTGAAAGTGTTAAACAACACAGCACATTAATGTGTAACATCATAAACAGCAGGCAGATTCATATATATAACTGTGTATATATATGTATATATGTATATACATATATATATATATATACATATATATATGTATATATATATATATATGCAGCTAAAAGCAGATACGAAATGTTAATTTACTCAGATATTGAGAATTGTTCTTTGATTTGAATAATGTTGTAATATCAAAATATAATGTTTCCTAGATTCCAAATGAATTAGAAATGTAAATCCAAACCAATAGGTTTCAAAAATGAATAAAAGTTTAAAATTTAGTTCTAAATTATGATATACTAAAATTATATATTTTAAATTCATGTGCATGACAATATAACAGGGCCACACAAATTAAAAACCTATTTAAAATATGAAACAACTTAATGCAATGTAAATAATACATGTTCATCAGAAAACATAATGTGGATGGTGTTGGTACATATTATGATGTTATTAAGAAACTTTGGGAAACCATGTGTCATATTAAACAAAGGTACATTTAAGTGCATCACACATCTTCATAGTTATGTATGGAGCTTATAGGTCATTGTGTTGACACAATGAAGATAGTTGTGGGTATAAAAATAGTTGTACATTTTGTCGTAAACTACTGTATATAAAATATACTAAAATCATTCCGTATTTATCCATTTCATTCTTGTTTTGCAGACAAGAGCTCTTACAAACGATGAGATTGAAGGTAACGTCTGACTGGCTTTTATGCTTTCAGATATACTTGTTAAATTGCTGTATAATATTGTTCACCTTTTAAAAAATGTGTCACATGCCATCTCATCTTTCTGTCTCTATGCTCTTTAGAGTTACGTGAAGCTTTTTTAGAGTTTGATAAAGATAAGGATGGTTTCATAACCTGTAAGGACTTGGGGAACCTGATGAGGACCATGGGTTACATGCCGACTGAAATGGAGCTCATAGAACTGAGTCAGAACATCAACATGAATTGTGAGTAATGTACTTATGCTCCATTAATGCTTTATTACTGCTGACCATGTTGTCCGGATAAACCGGTAAACAGAAAACATTCCATCGTTTTAAATATGTCATTCTTACTTTTATTCATTTATATGACTTAATTATTTTTGGACGCAATTTTTTGCAGGTTATGGAGAATTTAAAAAAAAGGTCATTGCCTCTCTGATAATACTGTGGGTTTTCAAACATGTACTTCTTTTATCTTTATCTTTTAAAAAATATAACAAAAAACATCTGCAAGACGGATTTGTTTTGTTTTCTTTCAGGAAATGTGTCTTTCACGCTCTTCTTAACAATGGTCTCCTGAGACATATTTACATATTCTTTTTCAAAATTAGCCGGCCACTTTCCGGTTGGAATAATCACATGTACATTTCGTCTTCTGCCTCATCATTTGTCAGTGGGTCACATTAATTTTACAGCAGAGCAACGACATCATCTTGGTTATTTATCACATTTGACAGTTGAATGCGAACCATCCTATGCACATTTATGAAGTATTCCACTCCACTGAGCTTTGAATGAAGTCAGACATTTATAACCAGGAAGATAACTGGCTAAAGCAAGTGGCATAAGTGTGCTTAGATATAAGGTCACAATTGTTTTCCACGGAGCAGCAGAGTGAAATGTAATGTATGAATGATTATAGCTAAAAGCATGTAATCCTTTGTGGAATTCACAATGGTGTTATAGCATTCAAACTTTGCTTAAGTTGTGTTCTCCAACTACTGCCGGCTTATTGTTGTATTAGTTACATCATTTGTCCTATTACAGTGGGGGGACGGGTGGACTTTGACGATTTTGTGGAACTAATGACCCCAAAGCTCCTGGCTGAAACTGCAGGGATGATTGGGTTGAAGGAACTTAAAGACGCATTTCGAGAGGTGAGCTCAGTATACCTATTCTCTCTTTTTGGTCTTTGGCACCCCATGGTGGATATTAAATGAACATACAGTACTGTAAAAGCTGAAATCTGGTCCAACAGTATGTTATGATCACAATATGAGTCTGAAATGGCCAAAAGCTTTGCAACGTTTTGTTTTCTTCTTCCCCTCTCCTTCAGTTTGATTTAGATGGTGACGGTTCTATCACATCTGAGGAGCTGAAACGTGCCATGACAAAGTTACTGGGAGAACAAACTAGCAAAAAGGAAATTGATGCAGTTGTCAAAGAAGTTGATAACAACGGAGATGGAACAGTTGACTTTGAGGGTGAGATACAAGCACACACAAACACACATGCTCACACAAACAGATTTAGTCTTTTTTATAGCCTTGCATTATCCTCTGCTTTCTAAATGTTGAGTTAGCTGAGTGGCTCTGTGTAACACAGGAGCTGAAGTAATACAAATTAGTCAATAATATTTGGTCATACTAAGTGGCTACAGTTGAAAGTGTTAAATAAGTTCATCAAAAGACATTTGAGAGAAAGTAGAAAGGCTCTGGTATTGGCTCATTGGTGTTTAGCTATTCAATATCTTGTCTATTCTCTTTCCAGAGTTTGTGAAGATGATGTCGCAGAAATGAGGACAACAGAATTAGTGGTTGAATGGAGAAAATGCCTTTTTATCTAATTATGCTGATGAATAATTTTGCATTTCTTTCCTGTTATTTCAGTGGCATCTGCCTCATACACAATCACGTGGAGCTCATTAATTTCAACTTACCAAAGACGTTTTGATCTTTTTGTTCAAATTAATGCATATAAAATTGGTAAACAAATTGAATGGTAGATCTAGACAGCCCTGTGTACGATTTCAGGGGATCAATTAGCAGAAATAGATTATATTCATAACTATGTTTTCTTTAGTGTACAGTAACCTTAAACTAAGGATCGTTTGTTTTCGTTAGCTCAGAATGAGCCCTTCATATCTAGATAGGGAGCCGGCCCTTTTCACGGAATCTGCCGTGTTGCAGTGACATTTTCCTACAGTAGCCCAGAACGGACAAACCAAAAACTAACGGAGGGGTATTCAGTTGGTTGCAATCCGCAACCTCACTGCTAGATACCAATGAATCAACACACTGGTCCTTTGAGTTGTTGGGTATTTCTCTTCAGCAAATTTGAAAAGTTTGTTGTCATCAGGTCCCCAGACCTGTCCTACAGAGCAGTAGTATACACATCATTGTCAACTGTTCGATAAGGAAGAACAAATAAATATGCGAAATTAGAGGTCTGCCATGTCCAGCTAAATAGGAAGCTGAAGTACTGAGAGTCTCAACAAATCTGTGGGTCAAATCAACAGTTTCAACAATTGTCACTGTGTTGTGGATATGCTGCACTATGGACTGGCCTTGGAGAACTCTAGTAAAACTAATTAGTAAAAAAGTGTATTTGCTATTCAAAGATGACACGCATAAAATGTATTGACAGGTCCATGTCTCAGTCACAATCACAACTCGGCTGTCGACATGAGCACTATTTACAAGTCGGAAACTCGTAAATACTGTAACTCTAATGTTGTATGAATGAGCATTAGCCCACAGAAGCTCGTAGAACCAGGACTCTGAAAGGACACTGTCTGCTTCTGTCATCCCCAACTTTTCCTTATAAGTTACAATTAGGCAAACCCCAACAACTCTTATTCACATTGGGGGAAGGTAACATTTAAATTTCATGATACCTTGCAGTAGATAATGTGGGGGCAGCGTGGGAGAATGAACTATGTGCATGCTTTTTCCTAAGGATGATCAGATAATATTTTCCATGGGTATATTGTGTGGACAATGAAGACAGCTTAATGCTTGCTGTAGGGAGTGTCTGCAGGGAATTGAATCTGATCCAAAGGACATTATCAATCAGCTGAGAATGTTCAGCACTGACCTCCCGAAATTAATGTTTGACTATATACATATTAAAATGTACAATAAAATATAAAATATTATGCACAGACAAACAGATAACAATACTTTAAACAAGTGTAGTGTAAGTGTGATGTAAAAGTGTCAAGTGTATTTAAAAATAGAAATATAGAAGGGATGTGCAGGGCAGTGTATCGGTAGGAAATTGTCCTGGGGATATATGTCAGTATATTTTAATGCCATGTACTTGTAAGATTTTGAATTAGACTTTTACTTCTAGCAGAGTATCTTCACACTACTGCATGGTATTCACAAATGTGTTTTCTGGAACGATGCTGTCTAAATTCGCAGTGTTAAAGTTTTGGGAAATACTTGAATCTATTTTTGAAAATGCAATGTGTTTCTTAGATGTTTGTGATTCATCCTTTTTCATTTCTAAATTCTACATGTATGTGAAATTTGATGCAGTAATTTGCCAGCAAACATCCTCACATTCATTACCTTCACACCTTCTTTCTGAAGAGCCTGTGTTAATAAGAACATATATTCTTAAATTATAAAGTTCTGAAAAAGAGAAAATAAACTCTTAAAAACTGCATGTTGAGTCAGTCTGTCCATCTATACTGTGAGATTGTTGAAGACAAACGGCAGAATAGAACTGGAACACTTTAACATGTTATCAAGCAACATACTGGATGGCTTTTCAGTGTAGAAAACTTTCTAGTTTGTTTTGATTATCCCTAATGATTACGTCTAGCACTACTGTCAAGCCAAAATTTTACAAAATTTGAAAACAGTTTGGTCAGTGTGGACAGCAATGTCACAAACTAATTAAGGGCATGTGTGTCTTTCAATCAATGTGAATCTTGTGAGTAGTGTGAGTACAAATGATTACGAGAGTATTGATCTGGTCTTTAATGGGCTGTATATTGTACTGTAGTAGTCTAGACCAGAGGTCTTCAACAGGGGTACCCTGAGGTACTGCAGGGGGTCCGCCAAATATTTGGTTGATTAGACAATTTAAAAAAATAAATCTTTTTTTTTTTTTTCTCTAAACATGAATGTGTCCATTATTTTAATAGTTCAGTATTGTATGAAAGATAACAGGTATGTTTATGCATGGCAGTGGCACTAATAGGCCATTACTCATTTTTCGTTTCCACATTTATGTTTAAAATGAAAACGTCTGTTTGAATAGCTTGTATGCATGATTATCATGTAATTAACAGACAATCTTGATATTGGCATTGGTATCAGTTGACAAGGTATGTTTCTCAATGGCAGTAACAAGGCCACCCTACTCACTGTACCTTGCACATGTTTAAAATAAAAACATGAATATATGAACCTGTGTATTATTTGAATAGCTTAGTATTGAATGCACAATAAAGAGGTATGTTTATACATGGCACTAGGCTCAGTTTAATATAAAACACAATTTTATACAATATACAGTATATAGTCGGGGGTCCCTGCTCCATCTCTCTATCAGTTTGGGGGTCCTTGGCCTGAAAAACATTGAAGACCCCTGGTCTAGACCATACAATACAGCTTGGTGGTTATATGTACAAGTATGACAGATCTGTTTCCTGACCACTTTGGTCCTTTGGCAACTTTCTCTGAAAATAATCCCTCTAAGGCTGCTAATGCTGTTGCATGACAAAAGGCCAGCATGGGAATTGTTGAGTGTGACAATAGCTATCTTTGTCTTTGAAATAAATGTGCGAGGCTGTAGCCTAATGTCAAGATTGTCCATGAAAAACATTTGTGTGTGTTATTATTAATCCAAGATTAAATATAACGTCATGTTACAGATTTGCATATGCCACTACAGGTTTGAAAACATCACAGTGACACAGCAAGGTGCAACCTTGCCTTCTAATGATGTGGTAGACGGTTTAGCAAATTTAAGATCTGAGAGTTTTTTTAATTCTAAGACTATCATCCCTTAATGCTAACATTTGACAGTCATACTCAATATTTGAATTGCTATATTATTTGCTTGTGAATTTTACACTCATAGAATTAAATGTTGAACGAATTGCACATCGAATCAACATATTACAACTACATAGAATCTCAGGAATAATCTCTTGCTGTGGGGTGGATTAGTTCAGTCTCTGTAATCCTCATCATGGATGAACAGATGGCAGATAAGACAAAATCACCACTCTAATTCTCATCTACTGACTGAAAAAAAATAACTCCCCCTTAAGGAGCTTAATGAACCAGAATGTGTTTTTAGAATGATTTTTTAGTCTGTTTAAATTTAAAGATATATTCACTACAGGCTACCGACTGTTTTTATTCCCCGAACAATTGCACTGGCCATTTTCTGACCAGTTCCATATGAATTAAGTCAACTTTTTTTAACAAGCCATGTGGCAGGCTATTTTTCTCCAATAAAAACAATACACTTGAACACTTATTATTAGCTTCAGATAAATGTGTCCTATACAAATTAATTGTGTAATTTGAGAGCCCTACAAAACAACCGGTTGTGATGCATGCATACTGTATCACATGTACATACACGTGTATTACTCTATTACTCTGTTATTCTATACACTGAGCCAATACTGATTTATCTGTTATTTATTAGTTTTTTGGATTCCAAGCAAAACAGAATTGACAAAAAGCAAACCACCTATTATATCTATAAACAAAGTAAAAATATGTATAGATCTATAAACAGAAAAATACAAGTATATAGAGGTAATATAAAGAATATGAGTACTCACAGTATGCAAAGGTTTATATATGTTTGGCATTCAAAAATAAATAGAAATTTACATGTCTATGATTTTCATGTTTTCACAGTTTTTTGGTTGAGCTTATATACCTATGGTTTAAAATAACTCGTGCGCTCGTGCACATGCATCAGCAGCTTAAAACAAAGTTCATTAATCAGGACAGATTGGTTTCACATGCAAATAGTATTCACAAGCACAGTTTATGATATCAAGATAAGATGTATAACAGTTTACACAATATCTGCTCTTCTTAGCTTAGATCTTGCTGTGCTTTCAAGTGATGTCAGTTTTAAATTTGCAGCCAAATTGTCTAGCATCTAGCATTGTAACTGATGTAATTCTATTATCATCCTTAATAATACACTCTTGTGGCACTTGACCATAAATCCAACACCAGTTGAATTTGTGGCCAATAGCTTGTGTAATTTTGAGGGCAGATTCACACAGTGATTCATAAACCGGAATGAGATACATGACCCACAACAAGCAGGGCTAAGGTAAGGCATCCCTGCATGTTGTGTATTATTGACAGGAACAAATTCAAAGGTCAGGGCTGAACATGAAGTCCAAAGCTTGTCTCTCTGCTGCAGCCACATTTGGATGCCAGAGGTCCACACTCAAAATGACTCGGGGCCCAGCATCTGGAGGCCCTTTAGAAATAGAGATATATATACAACGTTAGGTAAAAGGGTTGCAACCATTTGGGTTCGACTGTTTGGAACAACTCATGAAATTGAGAAAAACGCAAGAAAAAAACTTGCTACTTGTGTTATACACAGAGATCATGCATTGCATTATATTTTTATATTTGTTTGCAATGTTTAGCAATGAGAATAAAATTAAGAGTAAAAATGAGAGTAAAATGAATTTAAGAAGCATTGTTTTTCAGTATGTTATTCACTAACCCTTGTGGGAGACAGTGTGGAGGAATGAGTCATCAACCAGGAGGCAGTGTCCTTCTGACCAGCACTGAGGCTCCCCTCCGACCACCAGCTCACACAGGGTTGGAGTCTGCAGACCTAAAAAAGCGATGTCTGTTTTTAAACTTTGCAAATAAAATATTTTGGTTTCACTCAGCTAAGAAGGCCATGCACTCCACTGCTGTCTGTTTTTAAAACGGAGAGGATTATAGCCAGACGGATCATACTACAAAATGGGCTACGGAAATAATTAACCTCAACCCCGAACCACAAAGTACCATTATGTAACGGTTTAGTGTTTATCAGGTCATTTTTCTTTTCTTTTTTTGGTATAGTCAGCGGAGTCAGTGACAGGTTTTTTAAGATTTGTCTAAGATGCAGATAAACGCAGATAAACCGCAATGTTTTCCCTGATGTCGTATTTCTATGTTAAGATACTAGCCATATTATCTGCCCGGAGAATTGTCCTGTTGCTGTTGCTTTACATTCCTCCTGATGCAAATTAAAAAATGCATTACTGCTTTTGATTTGTTTTGTCATATATTTCATGACAAATAGGCTACTACTGCATTTGTTGACTGTGTTGCATAATGACAATAAATTATCCTTGAATCCTTTTACTCACCAAGGTGACAACGTAGGCGTGTATTAGTGGGTCCATATGAGCTCCCCAACGTAGCTCCTGGCCCCAACAGCCAAAATCCAGCAGATCCCAACGAGTTGCTGCTTATGAATGTACGCAGAGAGAGAAGTGTCCGGTAGGTGCAGGGACAGGAGCGACAATTTCCTGCCACAGACACACCTGCACTGTACAAAGGGAACACTGCCTGGCCCTGAAAGAGACAATGTCCTGCAGTTACATATGACTCAGATGAGGCACGTTCAGCAGAATTAAACAACTCCTATTATATCACAGTCTGTAGGTAGATTTTTAATGGAGAAACAGTGGACAATAATAATATATATAATTATATAAATATATATATATATAATTATTACATGACATGTGTTGTGGTTCTCTGGAAACACAGCACAAACTGGTGGAGCTTTTTGATGTTAGACATGTTATGTATTTGGAGGTGATTTAGAAACTTGAAAGCAAAAAAACGTAATGAATACTATTATTTCCACTGATTGTATTTTGTCAACTTTCATCAGTTTCTTTTCTCAGAACATTGCATTACAGATAGTGATGATTTTTATACAGAAGGGTGTTTTGCAATATCCCTTTACTCATGAAAGACTTCATTGTGTACCTTTGGTCCCAGACTGGTCCAGCCTAATTTTGAGTCAATGCCTCTCTGGTATACAGCCTTGAATTCAGCCAAGATTACAGAGTAGTTGGCTTCCAAGACCTCAATGTCATGTCGATGAGCATCTCGTGGGAAGAAAGGAACACTTGGGACATCTGGCAAGAAGAAGAGATGAGGCTTCTGTATGACAGAGAGATCGTTCAGTCTGACCTAAAGTGAGAACAATTAGAAATCAATAATTCATTCTTGACAATTCCTTCCTTAACTATTTGCCCTTGAGCAAAAGTCGTTCCAAATGAGGTGTTAAGAAACTTTTACACAAGATTATGCAGTTATACATGCTATGAAAACAAACCTTTGACTACAGTTGAATTTGGTGTATTAAATTATTGAATACGTCAGATGCACATGATTTTACTGGCAGTAGCAATTATGTACTGTATGTATTTGGCCTGCATGGAATAAACCTGTACCTGCTCACGGAGGCCCTTATGAATGCGGCCCATGCCCACCCAACTGTAGCGCTTGGCATACTCTTGCAGTGCTGCATACAGTTTATTGGCTTCTGCAGATGCTTGGGCTGGGAACAAGGCATGACTCAGCACCGGGGTGAGGTAGCCCTGTCCCTGTTCCTCATCCTCCTCTGTTTCCATTGAAATAAAGGGAGTCATTTGATCACTTCTCGACAGCTTGGATCGCGCACTACACTTTGTTCCAGCACAGCTACCGCCACGGGACATCATGGACCGCCTTGAGCCTGACTTGAGCTTTCCAGCGTGTGCGTGGCCTGGGATTGGCAGGTCAGAGCCCATCCGATAACAGTGCCACAGAAAGAGTAGCAGAAAAGTCCACAGAAGGCCACTGAGCGAATGGACACCCAGCTCAACATATGGAGGCAATAGCAGTGTGTTCATTGACCAATGCATCCTTTAAAATGGTGAGACACTAAGAAACTGAAATAGAAACAGATTGAGTGGTTATGGTAATGCGTACATGTGTGAAATATGGTAAAGTGCCATAAAATATTCTCTAACTTTTAAGTATTACAGTAAAATAAAAAACATCTATATTTTACTTGTTTAGAATGAATTCTTTAGCTCACTCCTGACTTTCTACGCCGCTAACTATTGGCCATAATAGTGATATTTGATTAGTGGAAGTTTTTCTTTAAAACATAATAAAAACAACAGAAGTAAGAGGTTATTCCTATAAACCAATGACAGTTTTGTGCTTGTCAAAATCTAACAGATCATTGTAAGGGGGCTGGAGAAAGGCTCTGTTTACCAACAAGCACAGCCTAAAGGGAATGATGGACTGTCAAAGGTAGCTGAAGCCTATCCCAGCATGCACTTGGAAGAAATTAGTGAACCAGTCAGGACAGGTTGCCAGACCATCACAGAGCCACTGACCCTTTGGTTAAGTTGCCACTGACACTGACTTTGTGGGGTTATGTAGGTCCTGATCTCTGACCTCTCCGATCAAGCTAGCTGTGGGTGCAGCTAAAGATTTCACAGCAGGCGATATGCTGAAGTCATAGCTTTCTATACTGTTTAATCTTGGCGGCTACTTCATAGAATGTCTATTTATTCCCTTAAATTCATTGTATTTTCCTTTGAAACAGTGGAGTCTGCAAAGTAAACATGCTACAGACCACTTTTGTCTAATTATGATTATTGCATTATGAACATAGTCATTTAATTGGACAGTATAGTGATGTCTGTTCACTTATGTTTAGCTGTTGTTGCTGACAAAAATAACTTTTGTCAATTACAATATTGACTTTTGGGGCAATTAATGTAATTTAAGAAAATGTGCAGAGACCCATCACTTGGACACTTATTTGACCTTGTCACCTGTGCCAAAGTAGATTAGAAAAAATGATAAGTGACAATACAAAAGTAGAAGATAACAGAGCAGGCCAAGTTCTATTCTGTGAGCGTTTGGTCCAGAAAAGATCAAGATCAACGTGTGTGCGTGA